TACATTAGGTTCTTAATCTGGATGTCGTGGGTTCAAAAATAAAACACAATATTAAAAAGATAATTTAATTGCTCACAAACAAAGCATATTTACAAACCGTGGTAGTGGTGCACTATTATGTGTTTATCATTGACTTTTAAATATAATTGTCTTTGTTAAAATGTATCCTAAGTTTAAAATATTTTTGTGCTATGGACTTTATAAGATTTCTGTGATCAACATAGAAAGATTGTTCTAATGAATAATCTTTTTTTTCTCGAAAATTTTCTGACGGCAACACATTTGCTGAAACTTTATTAATCAATCTAATAATTATTTTGGTTTACCGAGAGATTTTGAATCAATATGCACTTGATATTCTCTTATAATTTTTTCGGTCAGCTGACAGATCTTGGTTAAGCCATATGTTGGTTTAAATAGGCCTCTTCTACCTCTATATTTAAAGATATCAAAGATCTTTAAGGAATACTCTCCGTGTTTTCAAGACTTTCTATGCATTTTTCGCATTGTAAAGATTTTTTAATTTCTTTCCAATAAAGCCGATTATGTATTCTATGACATTTTTAGAATATTCCGTAATAGATGATGGGTACAAAATGTAGTCGTGGTCTGTCAAATCATCAAAGGTATCATGTGATTCGGGTTCTAAACGACGTCTATACTATAAAGAACTTCAAAGCCTAACTAAAATATCGATATGTAACATGACCACATCACTAGCTTAAAAACTGACTTAGAAAATTGATTTAGATTTTTTAGGAAAAGATGGAATAATACTGTTTAGGCTTACAATTGAAAAGTACGACAATAAATAAGTAACATTTATTTATAGTTTACCGGTATTTCCAATATAATTTATTTTAAAACATATCAAAAACTTACGAATGAAAGTGTATTTTTTCACCACTGTTTTCTTTTCTTCCTAAATGTGAATTGCAGCCGTCAATCACACAAGACGTATTTTTATTAAGGAAAACACATAATAAAGAACGACCATACACTTCCTTTCTTCCTTTCTTTTGCGCTAATTCCATAAAAAACATTTTTTATAATCAGGAGCCGTAAATACAACCACGGTGACACTTCAGTACTATAATCCGGCAAAGTGAGGAAGGTGTCAAACTTGAGTGAAACTGTGAAACATAGAACGTCAAAACGTGATTTTGAATTTGGTAGTATGCTGAATAAGTCCAATGACATAAGATTGTAATGAGTCCACTGATAGTTGTGACAACCTGCAAATTATTATAGAACTATGTTTAGTTTGCGGTCTCATTCTCGCCTACGCAAAATTGTGTAAAGAGCGAGAGCATCAGATATACGTTTGTAAATTACTATTTTAGCCTGGCTTCCATGCCTAGTTATTGTTCCGAGGCATGACAGCACAATTCCATCGTCTACGGTTACGGTTAACGGTATGTATATCTAACTACTTTTTATCTTTTTTTTTGATGACGGTTTAAACCTTCAAAAGGCGCCTAGCTGTTTGAGGAGAAAAAACACTAAAACCATTTCGGTGGCTACCCTCAGACCCTGTAAGGGTGCCGAGGTACCGAGCCCTCTGATCGAGACCTGCTCCGGAGCCCCAAACTACTTTTTATCTATCTATGATGAGTAACAGATGAGAAAAATGTAAAATAACACATTTGTACGCAAATTTTCTATAAAGTCTGGGCATGCACATGTACCGAGTTGAGACACGATGATCCTAGTTCTTTTAAAATTCAAACTACCGAGTCAAAATCAAGGGGGAATTGAACAGACATAAAATTCAATTAACCATTAACAGATGTTAAGAATATAAACGTCAGCTCGAAGACGACTAGACTAATCTACTAGATTTTAATTTCCTTTAAGAAATTGGATACATGTTTTTGAAAAAAAATGCTATTTACCGGATCCTTAAACTGGTCACAGAAGTCTTCGTCTTCGTTAAAATGAGGCTGTTGACCCGGTGGGTAAGTTACTTTCTGCTGCCTAGCCTCCCTGTGCTCGTCTGCTGAGGGGCCACTGAAGCACACCACCTTCTGGTGGTCGTCCCGAGCTGCTCCCGACTTCAGAATGCCTTTGAGTGGCGTTATGTTCTCGCATGTCGGTTTGCTGTACAATAATGAATTAGAATGAGGTAGATATTTCATAGACCTATTAATATAAGTTATAAACCAAAAATATATACTAAAAATACATTACTTGAAGTGCGAAGAATCTTCAACACTGGCGTGCTTTTATTTTCAGAAGAGTTTATAAATATCCTTTTTAACCCTATGCGATATAGGTTTTAAATCTTTTTATAAAGGTCATATCTACACGCTATCCCCAAATAGATCTGAC